GTCATGCAAGTTGGATTACAAAGTGAAAAGAGCAGAACCCACAGCACTTGCAAATGGTGCCAACAACAAATCAAGTCCAATGTGAGTTAAAGCAGGAAGACAGATTTTAATCTTTTATTTTGCTTTATATATTTTTACTCTGCATTTCTCATATAAGACAACATGATTCTCAAGCTTGTGTGTCTGATTTAATTCACTTAACATTATAGTTTCAAAGTGTATCCATTTTCCTGTGACTCATTCTTCTTTATGACAGAGTAGTATGTCACAGTATGTAAATACATTTTCTTTATCCATTTATTTGTTGATGGACATATGCACCACTTTCAAGACTTCACTATTACAAACTGAGCTGTATAAATATGGGTACGCATGTATCTCAGGAATATGATTTAACTCTTTTGGGAAGATACCTAGAAAGGGAATAGCTGAGTCAAATGGAATTTCTAGTTTTAGTTTTTTTGAGGAAAAATACACATTCTTACCAACAGTCTAGAAGTGTTTATTTTTGCCTGCCTTGCCAGAATTTATCATTATTTGATTTCCTGATTATGGTAATTTTTTCTGAGGTACAAATATGGCAAGATGCCAACTGTTGAATTTTTATTTTTTTAAAAATTATTTATGTATTTAGTATAGGATCTACAGGGTCTCACTACACAGATTGGACTCAGTGATTCTCTTGGTTTCAGCTTCCTAAGCACAGGGGATTACAGGCATGTGCCACCATGCCCAATCTCAGTAGCCATCTCAGCATGCCCTGCTGGTAGGGCCAGCACAGCATGCCAGGGATTGATCCCTGAGCCTGCCTAAACAGGAGCTTTAATCTGCTTAGCTATCTGGCCAGCCTCCTACCTGCTGAATTTAAGGAAGGCATAGTCTTTCAACTTTTCTGTATGTTCCAACATATTTGTAATATTAAACTGAGAAGGACTATTTCAAAATACTAACCTAGTCAATCAGGATTTGAAGGGGGGGGAAAAATCTATGATAAGAATCCAATGAGTTCCTAAAATTGTATGCAAACTGAGATACAGAATTCTGTATGACATGGGTGTATGTGTATATTTTTCCAAGGAAGTGGCTCAGAATTTTGATCTTATACTCAAACTAGTCTATAGCCCACCTCCCAAAATGGTACATAAGTTATCACTCCAGAATGAAGAAAGCAGGAAAACAGCTAGACTTAAAAGAACTGTGCAGGGAGCCAGGGAAACAGCTCAGTAGAATAAGGGCCTGAGTTTAATCCCCAATTCCTCAAATAAATAAATAAAACAGTGCATACTATAAAATACTATGTAAATTTGAACTATCTCAAGACGTAAGGGGCAGGTCTTCTCTTCAAAACTATTATAACGACCTTGAGCCAGGATGTTCTCTAAATAGGAGGGGAGAGAGTCACCCTTGCAGCTCTGCTTTGATGGGGGCTTTTAGAGCTGCTCTCCCAGTCAAACTCCCAGCCTACAAATCAGGTTTCTGCTTACAAACATTAAACTGGCACTCTAAGCATATTCATACTCTTTTCATTAATAAGTCTTCAAATCAAGCAAAACATATGAAAGTGTTGCAGAAACGGAGAAGGAATTTTATTTTTCCACGTCCAGCTGAAACAGGACTGCCTGAGTATGTAACACATATCTGTATGCCAAATTTGCCCTTAGATTTCATGCTTCCCTACTTTGTAAGCCAGGGTGTGGGGTGTGGGGTGTGTGTGTGTGTGTGTGTGTGTGTGTGTGTGTGTGTTTGACAGGGTTTCACTAAGCAGCTTGGGCTGGCCCTGTGCTGACTTTTGTAGCCCCCAGGCTGATCCCAAACTTGTAGTAATCCTCCTATCTCAACCTCCTGAGTGCTATGATTACAGGTGGGCACCCATGCCCAGCTCTGAGGGTGGTTTGGAGTGCCCAGAGTTCTGGGACCAGCAGGGCATGTGGAGCCAGCGACTGAACTTGGGACCCTGTACTTGCCAGGTAGGTGCTTATGCCTCTGAAATATTTCCCCAGCCCTCTTATAAGTCTTTTTGGAAAGGCAACAGAGGACTCAGCTATAGGTAAATCATGCTGGGAAGTTAAAGCAGTAACTAAGACTGAGGCTGTGAGCTACAAGATCCTACCACTGCCACAGGGGCTCTGTCCTTGCAGGTACCTGTAGCCTACAGAGTAAGAAAGCCTAGGTATGTTAGCATGCCTCACTGCTCCAAGGCAATGGCTACGGCCCTGCTTTTCAAGTCTTTTTGCCTTGCTTCAAACCAATGAGAATGACACAAAGCATTCTGTGGCGCATAAGGTAGTGCAGTGGTTACCCTATACTCTGCTGTGTGCCACATGCCTGGCTCATGCTATACATCTGCTACAAATTTAGCTTAGGGTTTATCTACTCCTCCACGTGTGACCTACTCTACATTGCCAGGCACAGTAGTGGTATGCTGACAGACTTATCTCCTCCATCACTCATAAGCATTCCAAAGGAGCTAAGTCTCACTCACTGTGCCACTGCCAGTGGGACCCACATCTGTCACACTAAATGTGCACGACACTGGTCATTAGGGGACTAAGAGGTGAGTTTCACAGATGATACACAGGCTCCATCCTTCAAGGTGAAGAAAGAAAGTGATTCCAAGACTCTCACTGAGATATTTTTAAGTGTGTTCAGATCTGTTCCCTCATCTGACCATTACAAAACCCCTGGGAACTAAGCAGGAAATAATGTACATTTACACACCTTGTCCCAGAGGAAGAAACTAATGCAGGAAAGGCCAGGTGGCTTGCAAAAGGCCACTTTTTGGGCTTCTCTTTGAGGAAGAGACTCCAGGAATAATAAAACTCGTATCAGTATAAAACTTCGTAGTAAATCTGAATATGTCTGACATACACGTGCATGAGCACACACACACACATACATACACACACACTTGGAGGCGGGGGGGGGGGAAGCAAGGGAAGAAATGGAGCTGAAAATATCCTTTCATAAATGTAGTAACACTGCATTTGAGAAGTAAAAAGTATTTTTTCTAGAAAAAAAA